GCCGGCGCTGGCCCCGCATCCCGGGCGCCCCAGCCTTGAGGCCCGCGCAGCGGCGCCCCGGCCCCCGGCCCGCACCCGTGCAGCAGCGGCCGCCGCGTCGTGCTCTCCTGCCGGCGCGCGCTCTGGTTGCTTTCCGAACCTGAGCTCAACGGGCTCCGGCGCGCGGACCGTTAGCTGCCTCCTCGCTTCCGGAATCTTCCCAGTTCGAAATTCGCCGCTTCCTCCGCCCATTGGCCGGACGTCACGCGACACGCTTGTGTCACGTCACCGCGCGAAACGAGCGCAACGAATGTGCCAATGTTGCTGTTATCATCCGGGGCCTTCTGCTCCGCCGCCGTCGCCTGTCGTTTGCTCGCCCCCACCGCTAAGCGCGGCCTCCTGGGAGCGGCGGACGCGCGCACGAGCAGCTGCGTCGGCGCCACGCCCGTGCGTTCCGTGCGCCACGGCCCTGGCACCAAGAGCCACTGATGGAGCCTAGTCCACACGTGGCTGCTGCCCTGCCCCTTTCCTAGACTCCCCGCTGCCTTGCACCCGCCTCCCCACAGCCTCCCTGCAGCCCCTGCCTGCACTTTCACCCACGCCCTTCAGTTCATCTTGGCTTAACGAGGAGATCTTGCACGATCTCAAAATAAAAAAGGAGTCATATAAAAAATGGAAACTAGGACAACTAACAAAGGAGGAATATAGGCAAGCAACAGGGGAATGCAGGGGCAAGATTAGAAAGGCAAAGGCACAAAATGAGATCAAACTAGCTACAGGCATAAAGGGAAACAAGAAGACCTTTTATAAATACATTAAAAGCAAGAGGAAGACCAAGGACAGGGTAGGCCCACTGCTTAGCGAGGAGGGAGAAGCAGTAACAGGGAACTTGGAAATGGCGGAGATGCTCAATGACTTCTTTGTTTCGGTCTTCACCGAGAAGTCTGGAGGTGTGCCTAACGTAGTGAATACAAGCAGAGAGAGGGTAAGTTTAGAAGATAGGATACACAAAGAACAAGTTAAAAATCACGTAGGAAAGTTAGATGTCAGCAAGTCACCAGGTCCTGATGAAATGCATCCCAGGATACTCAAGGAGCTGATAGAGGAGGTACCTGAGCCTTTAGCTATGATCTTTGAAAAATCATGGCAGACAGGGGAAATTCCAGAAGACTGGAAAAGGGCAAATATTGTGCCCATCTATAAAAAGGGGAATAAGAACAACCCAGGAAACTACAGACCGGTCAGTTTAACGTCTGTCCCAGGGAAGATAATGGAGCAGGTAATTAAGGAAATCATATGCAAACACTTGGAAGGTAATAAAGTGATAGGGAATAGCCAGCATGGGTTTGTGAAGAACAAGTCATGCCAAACTAATCTGATAGCTTTCTTTGATAAGATAACGAGCCTTGTGGATAAGGGAGAAGCGGTGGATGTCATATACCTAGACTTTAGTAAGGCATTTGATACGGTCTCGCATGATATTCTTATTGATAAACTAGGCAAATATAACTTAGATAGGGCCACGATAAGGTGGGTGCATAATTGGCTGGATAACCGTAGTCAGAGAGTTGTTGTTAACGGTTCTAAATCCTGCTGGAAAGGGATAACAAGTGGAGTTCCTCAAGGGTCTGTTTTGGGACCCATACTGTTCAACATCTTCATCAATGATGTAGATATTGGGATAGAGAGTACGCTTATTAAGTTTGCAGATGATACCAAACTGGGTGGGGTTGCAACTTCTTTGGAGGATAGGGACATAATTCAAAATGACCTTAGCAAGTTAGAGAAATGGTCAGAGGTAAACAGGATGAGGTTTAATAAAGAGAAATGCAAAGTGCTCCACTTAGGAAGGAACAATCAGTTCCATACATACAAGATGGGAAGCGACTGTCTAGGAAGGAGCATGGCAGAAAGGGATCTAGGGGTCATAGTGGACCACAAGTTGAATATGAGTCAACAGTGTGATGCTGTTGCAAAAAAAGCAAATATGATTCTAGGTTGTATCAACAGGTGTGTTGTAAGCAAAACTCGTGAAGTCATTCTGCCGCTCTACTCTGCACTAGTTAGGCCTCAGCTGGAGTACTGTGTCCAGTTCTGGGCGCCACATTTCAAGAAAGATGTGGAGAAATTGGAAAGGGTACAGAGAAGAGCAACAAGAATGATTAAAGGTTTAGAGAACATGACCTATGAAGCCAGGCTTCATGAACTGGGCTTGTTTAGTTTGGAAAAAAGAAGATTAAGGGGGGACATGATAGCGGTTTTCAAATATCTAAAAGGGTGTCACAAGGAGGAAGGAGAAAATTTGTTCCTCTTGGTTTCTGAGGACAGGACAAGGAGTAATGGGCTTAAAGTGCAGCAGGGGAGGTTTAGATTGGACATTAGGAAAAAATTCCTAACTGTCAGGGTGGTCAAATATTGGAATAAATTGCCAAGGGAGGTGGTGGAATCTCCCTCTCTGGAGATATTTAAGAACAGGTTAGATAGACATCTGTCAGGGATGGTGTAGATGGAGCTTGATCCTGCCTTGAGGGCGGGGGGCTGGACTCGATGACCTCTCGAGGTCCCTTCCAGTCCTATTATTCTATGATTCTATGATTCTATGATCCCTGGCCTGCACTCTTACACCCCTGGCAGCGTGAAAGAATGAGTTTCCTCTACAGCCCTGTTTCTCAAAGTGGGGACAGCGGGGTGACGGGGAGGACACCGAGCCCCTAGCACTGGAGCCTGCTGGGAGGGGAAGGAAGTAGAGGGGACCCCCAGGAGCACCCTCCCCAGCAAGCGGCATCTGCCACTCGCACACACCTTCCCCCAACACCCTGCCCCCTCTCCTCTAACACCTAGGGATACAGGCCTCTCTCCCTGTGGTATGTCACCGCTGCCGGAGGGAAGCTGAGCCATGGACCGTTCAGAGGCAGGTCTGGCTCCATGCTTGGAGTGCTGTGGTGTCCTCAAGAGTAACTAGAGCACACAGTGAAAAGGCTTTGCTGTCCCTCAAGGAGATAGGGAAAAGAGAAGAGCCTGAGACAGGACTGTACATAGGGTCCCTTTTAAGCATGAGCCTCAGATAACCTCAGGCAGCAGCTACGGGAAGTCACTGCTGCCCTGATGCCCTGCCTGAAGTACTTCCGGGTGACCTTAAATGTGATTCAGCGTCCAATGAGTGTGGATGCTTTATTTCGAAATAGCTCAGCACCATTTTGACGAGCATATGCTGTGTAGCCACACTATTTCAAAATAAGCTACTTTAAAATATAAATTTTGAAATAGCTTGTTCTGAAATAAGAGTGCCCTTACTATTTTTCATAGAACCCCACTGTTCCTGGAAGCTTAAAAAGCCACCTACTTCTCTTAAGACAGCCTAGTGGGAACAGTGCTGTCTTAAGTATTTTGTTAGCCTATAACTTTCGGCCTTTTGAGGAAAACATGGGATTTAGTGCTTATTTTGAAAGAGGACAGTTCTCAGCATCTCTGAAGAATAAAAAATTGGTGGATCAGCTTCTCCTTAAGGGTAGATTTTCAGTAATGAAGCCTGCTGAAAAAATAATCCTTGTTATTTAACTTTCATCACACTCCACAGTCCATTCCTGTAAAATGAGATAATGTCTTTGATTACATCCTCTTGTCCAATTTGGACTATCTAACCTGTTTAACTTGAAGCTGTTTCCTGAGCTGTAGAGATCTGGAAACGTCTAACCCATGAAATTCAAATGAATGATAACATATTAGTAATGAAATAAGTGACTCCATCCTGGTGGTAGGTACAGCCAGTCTCCGAATTGCAAACGGTCGAGTTACGACCTTTCTCATTTATGACCAAAGCTCCCATGGAGCGGTCGTACAGGCAGTCCCCGAGTTATGAATGCAACCTGAGCTTACGAACAGCGCGGTTGCTATGTAACTAAATGGGGTCCGAGTTACAAACAGATCGAGTTACGGCCAAGTGTGTGGTCCATAACTCATTCATAACTCAGGGAGAGGCTGTATATTGTTTCTCTCAACCAAAGATAACTCCATGTTTGTGCCACTTGATTTTTTTCTAGAAGATGTTCTACAATGATTGTTTTTCTGTTTGCCCATTTGATGGTAGATATAGGAACTATAAATTTGTGACAGAAAACCACCACTATATTCAAACTGTTGGAATTTTTGTGATTAGTGTATTGTTGGAGATCAGTTTTGCAGATATCCCATGTTGAATTACTCATTATTGTGTACCTATTAGCGTTTTTCTGTTTCTTAATCTCCATTTCATAATAGTGGACCTGATTCTTCTGTTGCTTACACAGATTGTCGCTATTGTAACACTGCTGATTTCAGTAGAAAAATGACGAGCTCACTTTGAGCCTGTATTTTATGATCTAATAAAAATGACTTCAGAGGTGAGATAGCTTGTCATGAACGATCATGAACTTTTTAGAATTTGACATGCAATACCGTAAGCCAATTGAACATGTTAGTTTGTGTTTTTTAAATTGTGAATTCACATAGGATCAAAACAGCAGAACTCTGGTTCTGCATGATATGTGGGATCTGAGAGGAGTCAGCTACAGTCACTCAATTAGGGTGCATTTCAAAAAATGGGACAGTCAGTCCCCAAAGCTGGTGGCTATTCCAATATTAATATTTACTAAGCCAGCACAAAACAATTTGGCTACCTCTACACTGCGGAGGTATTCCACGTCTTTTGAGCAATCCTGTTATTTAAAAATATAATGGGCGCACTAGTCTGACGTAGTTGTAAACCTCATTCCATGAGCGGTAAAGGACATTTCAGAATAACACTCTATTTTGAAATTTGGTCCTGTGTAGACAGCGCCAAATTTCGTACTAAGCTATTTTGAAATTTACTCAAAATAAGCTATGCAATTTGCATAGTTCAAATTGTGTAGCTTATTTCGAGCTACAGGTGCAGTTTAGACGCACTCCTTCTATATTACTGTGGAGAAGCGTGGCGCCAGGGCGACCCCCCCTTCAGGCCACGCAGGGCCGCTGCTCCTCCCCTCTGTCTTCCCTCACCCGAAGTCTATGTCCTTTGTGCTCCCCTATCACCCGGTGTCCTGCCCCGAGTCCGGCAGGGCCGGTCCACCGCTAGGATTGACTTCATAGAATCATAGAATAATAGGACTGGAAGGGACCTCGAGAGGTCATCGAGTCCAGCCCCCCGCCCTCAAGGCAGGATCAAGCTCCGTCTACACCATCCCTGACAGATGTCTATCTAACCTGTTCTTAAATATCTCCAGAGAGGGAGATTCCACCACCTCCCTTGGCAATTTATTCCAATATTTGACCACCCTGACAGTTAGGAATTTTTTCCTAATGTCCAATCTAAACCTCCCCTGCTGCACTTTAAGCCCATTACTCCTTGTCCTGTCCTCAGAA